TCGCTAGTTTGGACACTCGCCAGTACGTTGCGTCCTGTATCAAAACTGCTGGCAATTTGTTGTTTGACCGGGGTTCACAATAATGCACTCGAGTGTAAAAGCACCGCCACGTAGAGGGGTGAAACGGTGGGGGACGGGGGGTGATGTGGACACTCGCCATACTCTTTCATCACCACGGTCTCCATACGGCGCTCCCTCCCAAAGGACCAGCGGTATATACAGTAATACGGGGCCCTGCACAACGCCGTCCGCCCGAAATAAAGGCCGGTGCAATCGCTCGGCACAGGATGGAATATTCATGTCTCATACAGCTGTGGTCCCGCCATAATGCCGCACTCTAGGTGCCAGCTTCTTGAACCGCCGATATTGCGGCCAACCGGCATTTACTGAAGAGAATGAACCAACTTCAACATCACATATATCTGTGCCAGCCAATGTCACCAGCATTTCAACGAGCAACCGGCAGTGCTCTTGAGTGTGAGACAACTTTGCATATCAGTGTCAGACGATTTCACCGGCATTTTACAGGGCAACCGGCACTATTCAACCCTGCGGCACTACTGCTGTAAGCGTTCTTACCATCGCTCCTACGGCACAGTGTACATGAACGCGCGAAGGGATCCTTACTTGAGCCGATTTCGGCGCTCGTCATCCCTGCCGAGAAGCAGCTGGTCGTCGCGGCAGCAACAACCGAGAGCGCCCCCGCCCCCGTCACCAGAGTCGACAGCAGCGCGGGCGTTTTGCCACCGAGGCGAAGGCTGCTGCCGTGGCGATGCAGTCGACAAAAGGCGGCGCCAGATTGCAGCAAGAAACGATTGCGTCAGTTTATTGGCATGTGTTTTTGGAGGGTACCAATATGGACCCATGGACGGAGATGGCAAAAGGCGGCACCAGAGAGCAGGAAGAAACGGTTATCAGCTGTCGATTGACACGTTGTGTTTCGGGTTGGTACCGGTCACTACACAACTCATCCTCCTCCTCGTCGGTGCTTCCCCGTCAAGGGCGAGAAGAGAATCAGGGAACTCGGGCGTAAGCAAAGGGTCTGCAGGCCTCAACACCAGCGAGAGGGCTTGGGCTGCTTGCATTCACGAAAACCCTCGGCGTTTGGATCAACACCGTCATGGTATGAAGCACGTAATGTTGTAGCGTATGACAAGAAGCCAACTCTTGGAATAGTCTACTTTCTATCCAGGCCCGAGCTCTCCAACACTTCGAGGGAAACGCATACAACACCAACAGCCAGGCACACGAGCACACACTAGTCCTGCTCAGGATAACGCATTCGCAAAGCAGTCCCTCCTTCCCATATCCCGCTCTTCACGAAAACGCACCTGGCATAGCGAAGGGCGAGGGAGGCGGTTGTGTCGCACACCTTCTCGACGCCCTGTTTATCGCCAGAAGAGCGAAGAGGTGGAACGGGGAATATAGTTCAACCAAAAGCAAACTCAGCGATATGTTCGCCGTGTGGAACCGCACCGCGTTTTTTTTTTTTACGTGTCCATGGTGCCGTTCCGTGCCGTACCATACCGTGCGGTTTTCGTTATTTCGAATTTTGACGGTGCGGCTTGGTGCGCTTTCCTTCAGTTCGAAATGGGACGGGGTGGTTAAACCCCACTGCACCGCGCCGCACCGCACCGCACCGTGCACATCCCCGCAAAATTGGAGCAAACCAACGGGGTGGGTGCATGATGCATCCACTGCAACACGCGCCTGCCTCCTGTCGACACCGATGCCAGGAGCGCGGATGCGCGGGAACCTCGCGGTGCATTCCCCCCCTCCCCGCATACTCGAAAAAAAATTCTCGGGGGGCGTGTTCGACAGCGGAAATACTCCAACGGAAGCTCAACCTATAACGCATTAGAAGGTCCATGGCAGCAGGCAACTACTTGATCGGGGGGTGCACTGCCATGCGCGCAAAACTGAAGGGCAACAGACAAGACACGAGCATCCTACCAATAGTCGCCCCACAAACAAATGGGAGGCAAGTAAGTGCAGTGATCCTCACACCATGCGCTATTTTCCCGGTGTTCTTGCTGAGTTCACAACCGAAAACGTGGGGTGCTGTGCCGCCGGCAATTGCCGTGAAGCTCCGGAAAGCTGCCTGCACGCGAGCAAAAACGAAACCAACAACGTCTCTGCCGTCTCGCGCTCCTTGCCTTGGTCAACAACACCACCCCGAAGAAGCAGCCTGCACACGAAAAACTACGTCTCTGTCATTTGTTGTGCCGTCCTTACCTTGGTCAAGAGCCCCCGCCCCCGAAAAGTAGCATATGCATACACACGAGAAAATAAGCGAACGTCTTGCCGTTCGTCATGCCTTCGCGGCTAGCGAGGTTCGAACCCCTGTGGGTGCCGGCATGTGCGCGAGCTTTGGTTCTTTTATCGGGTTTTGCATCATTATTGTTGGCAGGTAAGTGTGCAAGGCGGTCGTCTCCACAACAGCAATGGTTTTCTACCCCAACCGCACTGAGACTGACGTCATTTTCATTGGTCAGCCGGCTGGCGCGGTCGATGCACACACTCGTCACACAACGATATTTGTTTCTGGTGGTGGCAGCTGCCGAATAGCCGTGTCGCTCCCCCCCGAAAGCCACCTACCCACCCTAATGTCGGCACCCCCCATGGGGAACGCTTCCTCCTCGGAGTTCATGGCCGAATCGACGGAACCCCCCCCCACGGGTGCAACGAACGCCCCTCCGTTTCCGTTGAAGTCATTTGTGCAGGTGCTGGTCACGTGCGTCTCGACGTCGGTCCCACCACCACCATCGCTGCCTTCCTGGAGGAGTTCAACTCCCTGTCGATCAGGCGTGCGGGGGGGTTGGGGGGGGTTGGGGTAGGGCACTCGTTTTTCGCATGCATGCCTTCGCGGCTAGAGAGGTTCAAACCCCTGTGGGTGGCGGCATGTGCGCGAGCTTTGTTTCTTTTATCGGATTTTGCATCATTATTGTTGGCAGATAAGTGTGCAAGGCGGTCGTCTCCCAGCAATGGCAGCTTGTCGCATAGCGCTAGTCATAACCCACTCGACCCCAGCGTTTCGTCGTACAACAGCCTATCCCGTCCAAAACGAGAAGCAGCGAGCGAATAGAGGGAGGATTCGGATGGTCGTTACTGAGAAAAAAAATGCAGCGAAAACGTCTGACGAACTTAGCCCGTCCGACGCTTTGCTCGTCGGCATACATATGCCAATCGCATGACGTCACGCAGGAATGTGTTTTCCCGTGCACCCAATTCGAATTGCGCCTCCTTCTCCACGGTAGTGAACACGTGAACACCACGTTTTTCCCGTGCACCCAATTCGAATTGCGCCTCCTTCTCCACGGTAGTGAACACGTGAACACCACGTTTTTCCCGTGCACCCAATTCGAATTGCGCCTCCTTCTCCACGGTAGTGAACACGTGAACACCACGTTTTTCCCGTGCACCCAATTCGAATTGCGCCTCCTTCTCCACGGTAGTGAACACGTGAACACCACGTTTTTCCCGTGCACCCAATTCGAATTGCGCCTCCTTCTCCACGGTAGTGAACACGTGAACACCCCATCCTCAGCGACACGATCCTTCGCGGGGTGTTAAGCTCTCGCCCCCTCTTCAGTACACGTTTGGTTTCAAATTCTCTACTACGAACAAACAAAATTGAGACCAAACATCGGGAACAGAGATTTTCGTGTGAGCACCTTGTTCGCTGCAAGATGTTCCTCATCGTCCGCAGCGGCTTGGACGGGCACGATGTAGCCCCGGAGAGGGTGCTCGGCGACGACATCCTCGGCGTTGGGCACCTGCTCTCAGAATGTGGCCGTAAAGAGTAAACCACGGGGGGGGCGGGAGGCGGGCGGCATCGAAGACTTGGGAGGGAGGAAAGAACGGGAGAGCGAGAGAGGGAATAACAGAGAGAGAGATGGATATAGAGGGGGGGAGGGAGCTAGGGAGGGAGGGAGCGACACACACAGAGAGAGAGAGAGAGAGAGAGAGAGAGAGAGAGAGAGAGAG